CTGTGATGAGCTCTGAAACCTGACTGAAACTCTTCAAATAAACCTCTGCAGATGATCTGTTAGCTGTTTGACAACTACTCTTTCAAGGATGTTTGATATAAAGGAAGGTTGGAGATTGTTGCTTTATAAGAAAGCAGCAAACAATTTCTCCAGGCTAAATGATGATCTTCTAAATTTGTGACACGCTACCTGCTTTAGGTATTTATAGGTGCTTGATAGGTGTTTGAGAATTATACCAGGGAGTGAAATACTTCTTCTGATTTGAGGCTTTATTTTTCACAGGGGGCAAAAATCTGCAGAATCAAACATGCAGCACTAGCCGCTGTGACTCAGGGCGCCAAAATAAGCTTTTAAAGTGAAAAACAGAAGCGGTCACTTCCCCTCTTGTTTGGATGCAGATGTTGGCTCGTTGCTCAGCGGTGAGCAAACTGGGTAGAGTCCCTCACAGGATGATCTCTGAGGGAAGCATGGTGACATTTCCCTGTAAAACCGCCCGTGACCTTATCTTTTCAGCCTCTCGACACGCCCCCCCTCCACGGTCCTGTAGGCCGCCGTCATCCACACAACTGAGTCACAGAGCTCAGCTGGAAATGTCGCCGGCTGTGTTTCGAGTCCATCGTGTTCCCTCGTTAATAATAAACCAGGAAAGGGCAGCGTGTTCAGAGCTATGGCACTAATGATACACGGAGCACATGAACAGGGACGCAGTGGAAACGGGACGTCTGGGAGGGTCAGGAGAACAGCCGAGTCAGCCATGGCCTCACACCGTTGACTTCAGCCTCAACTTCACCTCTAATACATCCATCCTACCTTCAGCAGCTTCAGTATAGATGAATAAACACTACAGTAGTCACGTGTCACAGTCTAACCAATGACAGCAGTGCGTGGTAGAGAACGCCGTGTTCTACCTGCTGCTGGACTTAATAAAGTTTTTATTGTGTGGAGCTGCTTCAGTCGGACGTTACAGGACGTCCAGCAGGGTAGGATCAGGGTCAGAGGTCAGAGGTCAGCTTCAGCTCTTCAAGGGCTCGTGTTCATGTTAACCTTGGGCTGAGATCAGCTTGCGTCCTCCTGCAGGGCGGGGCAACGACAGCAGAAAGGCAGGACGCACGCCACCCGGAGACGCCGGGCTCAGACGTCTGTGTGTGTGTGTGTCTGTAGTGTATGCGCATGCTGCATGTGTGTGTGTCTGTGTTTATCTGCATGTGTGTGTGTGCGCGAGCGTGTGTTTCTGCGTGCCTGAATGTGTGTGTGTGTGTGTGTGTGTGCGCGCAATGTTAATCCTGTGACAGCAAATCAGCATAAAACACACTGTGACTGAAAACCAAAAGACAGGGACAGACACACACACACACACACACGGCTGAGAACAACCCGGAGGAGATGGCGTTCATGGAGGGAGGAGCCACAAAGTATTCATGGTGTCATAGATTGAAATGCTGGAGCCCCGCCTCCTCCTGATCGTCACACAAACCATGATCATAGTATCATTTTTGTTGACTCTGTGAGTAAAATCACAGGAGCGTTCATCTCACTGCTCCTCACGCTCCTCCGAGGAAACACACGGCGCCTCCGAGAGAGGAGCAAGGAGGAGGGAGGAGACGGAAACAAAGTGTGAGCCTGAAACAAAAAGAGACTGAAAGCAGCAGAGCAGCAAAAACAGAGAGGAGGAGGAGCAGGAGGAGGAGCAGGGGGAGGAGCAGGGGGAGAGAGAGAGAGAGAGAGGGTTAATCCAGAGTGGAGGAGGAGGAGAGGTGGAGCTGGGAAAGCACCAGAAGCGACAGACGAAGCTCACATCTGAGCCGAGCGCAGTCAAGAGACGGAGGCAGCAGCGACTGACACACACACCTGCACACACACAGCAACATCTGTGAGGGAGCAGCGAGGAGCGCGCTCAGTGCGGCCAGAGACAGCGCAGGGCAGCAGCAGAGCGGCGTGGTGGACGAGTGTGGAGCAGACGGGATGCCGACCTCACTGAGAGTCTGATCCCAGGATCAAACTGAGGCGCTCTGAGCTCGCCATCGTCACAGCAGCAGAGACTGAGTGCGGAAAGGAAACTCCCGGAGCGAGCAGAGCTGAAGAAGGACGCCCACGGAGCAGATATGGGATGAAAGGAGGAGACAGGAAGTGATTTCTGACTTTTCTGTGTGATAAATGGGACGACAGGGACAGGTGTTCTGACATCGCAGCACACCTGGATCACTGACAGAGGGAGTCTGTGCTGGGACGCCTCCACCTCACATAACCCATTTAGGCATCTCCTCTCCTGGCGTCTGCCGGGTTGGCAGGTGGACAACATTAACCGAGTTAGACCAAACAAACAGCCTGGAGGCACACTGAGCGCGCTCCACAGCCACGCTCTGAGAGGAGACGATGAGAGGCTCAGAGTGAAGGACGCGCACAGACTCGTACACTATGAGCAACAGCGAGCTTCCTCCGCCTGCTCTGTTTATGTGTCGACCATGTTACGCCAAAATGAGATGAATCGCGGCGCACGAAGGATGTGAACAGCAAACTGAGGCTCTTTCAAAGTAAGGGACACACGCTGGTGGCATCATGTCGCACGTCGGTGGTCACACGGAATTCCTGCAGGCTGTGGACTCTCCGACAGCGTGGCGGGCTGCTGTGCTGCTGTTGGTGTGCCTGCAGCTGCACCGGCCGAGCCCCGTACACGCTGCCGTCACCTCGTCTCGGGGCTCCTATCGGGCGGGCGGCTGCATTTGCGCCGCAGACATCTTCAGCTGCACCACCCTGACTCTGAGACACGTTCCCGGAGAAATGCCGGTTTCCACCGTCACCCTGGACCTCAGCCACAACCACATCACGCAGCTGGAGGACGGCGCCTTCCAAGGACTTCTTCAACTGGAGACGTTACGTTTGGCCCACAACCAGCTGACAGCGATCATGCCGGGAGCGTTCAGAAACTCGTCCGGGGCTCAGCTCCGAAACATGGACCTGTCATCCAATCATCTTTGTGTTCTGGAGGAGCATTACTTCCAGGAGCTGTCAGGGTTGGAGGAGCTGCTGCTGTTTAATAACCGGATCTCGCGGGTGGAGGGCAGACCTCTGGCTGGACTGACAAACTTGCGCAAGGCTTATCTGAGCCACAACCGCCTCACAGACTTCCCCTTCTTTTCCATTCAGAAGCACAGCCACCCCCACCTGTCATTGCTGGACCTGTCCTCAAACCGCCTGTCCAAACTGCCCCTGGAGGACATTTTGGCCCTGCCCCATTCGCTGCAGAAGGGGCTCTACCTGCACAACAACTCGCTGTGGTGCGAGTGCCCCATGTACAGCCTGTTCCGGTCCTGGGAGCAGCAGGAGTTTGAGTCGCTGCTTTTCTTCAGGCAGGAGCACGTCTGTCTGGTTTACGGGAACCCGAGAGGCACTGTGCGCTTCCTCCAGCATGGACGCTACCTGGAGAAGTGCAACCTGAGTGCCGTGACCCAGAAGAGGAGTGTTACTGTGACGGCGGGGAAAGCGCTGCTGCTGCACTGTGCCACCACTCTCTCCGGCCACGCCATCACTTTCCTCTGGGTGTCGCCAAGCTTGGAGTCGGTGCTGCCCCCGGGGAATAATGGGTCCTTAAAGATGTTCTCCAACGGCAGCCTGGAGATCATGGCGGCACGCGAGAAGGACACCGGGATCTACTGGTGTCTGGCGGAGGACCGGCAGCATCACCGCAACGACACATGGGAGGTCAACGTCACGGTGTTGGCGGATAGCAACGACCCCCAGGAGCCGTTCAACACGGGCTTCACCACCCTCCTGGGCTGCGTGGTGAGCCTGGTGCTGGTGCTCATGTACCTCTACCTGACGCCTTGCCGCTGCCCTCCCTGTCTGAAAGCCCCGCCCCCGGCCACGGCCACCCCAAGTCTGGGAAACGAGGCTGGGGCGGGCAGCGCCCAGTCCTCCATCCTCACCCCCACCCCGCCGGCCAGCACGGAGGGCCCGGGCCGCAAGGTCAGTACCAACAAGCATGTGGTGTTTCTGGAGCCAATCAGAGAGCAGCAAAATGGCAGGCTGAGGGCAGGGCCGGGACACCTGGGGCCAGGGTTACTGCTAGGGGCAGAGCAACAGCCACGGCACAGGGCGGGGGAGACAGACTCCATTATGTCTGTCTTCTCAGACACGCCCATCATGATGCCATAGCAACGCACCACCCCCACTCCCCTCTCACTCCCCCTCACCTCCTCCTCCACCTGAGCACAACTCCGGCATGGACCCACAGGCCACGGCGAGGCTTTCATCCAAAACATCCAAGTGCAATTTCACAGATTGATACTGTTAACCAGAGCAGACGAGCCCGCCGCACCCAACCAGCGCACCGTGACGGGCCGCAGAGTTCAAACCAAAGATAGCATGACGGGGGGCGAGGACGGACTGCACCCGAGCGCACGGCTGTCCCTTTAAGCACGGCTTGTACCTTTAACAAACGTTTACGATGCCTTGTTGTCTCGCTCAGAGGTGAGAGACCTTTTGTAGAGCCTTTCAGCTTCTTTCTGTTCGTAGAGCCAGTCGCACTGTAGCCCTGTCACCGCGTGACGCCACAGAAGAGCAGCTTTTAGCCAGTAAAAATAGAAACTGCCCCTCCTCCTCGTCTCCCTCCACTCTGGAGTTCAGTTACTGTCATCATCAGTCAGATCACGAATTATAGAGATGAATAAATAAAAACATCAGCTGGAATGATTCATTCAGGGGGCGGGGCCATTGTTGGAACTTTGTGAAACTTGTTTTGCCTCAGTCATGTGATTACCGACAGGCCAATCAGCACAGACGTGTTTCTGTTATTGTCCTCACTGTATTCACTGCTCCTCCTCCTCCTGTGTGTCGTCCTCTCTGCATCTGTGTTAATAAACCCGAGTATCTGCACCGCCCAGCTCACTGCTGTTATTGTCTCTGACCAGCACTCAGCCTCTGCACAGTGTGAGTGTGTGTGAGTGTGTGTGTGTGTGTGTGTGTGTGTGTGTGTGTGTGTGTGTGCGCATTCAGATTTATATACAGACATCTTTACTTCTATACACACACGTTTTCTTTTTAATAATTCCCTAATTTACATCCGATTTTCATCCTGTTATTTTACCACTGCACAGACAGAAAACACAGGTCTGAATAAACACAGAAATGAGCAGCTATTTGTATTATTATTGGGTGTTTTTGCTCAAGTAGTTTTTTCTTAATGTTTATAAAATTCTGGTCAGAAACCTTGAAAATCTCTTCATCGCGTGCAGAAATGATCATTTTACAGATAAAACAAACCCTGATCGTACAGGTGTGAGTGTGAGGGCCGCTGCGAGCATTTCATTCAGCAAAGTCATCTAAACGCTTCAGAGCGAGCGTGTGGGCGTGGTCAGAGTCGCTCTCATGTTTCACACGTGAAATCAGAGACGCCACAGACACACTTCACTGCAGCTGCTTGTTAAACAACATCTCTGACCAAGTTTGGAGCGGCGTCTCCACCGCCATCATAATCACCAGCCAGCGTGGCGCCTCCTCGGAAACACTCTCTGAAAGCTGGATCAGAGGGACAGCAGGACGGCCCGCCGGCGTGGGGTAAGACCTCCGCAGGACCGTGGATCAATATTTATCATGAGCCGTCAATATGTCACTACGAGGTCAGAGCCTCGCTGCCCCCACAGGGACACCTGCAGCACCTACTGTCATTAAAGAGTGTGTGTGTGTGTGTGTGTGTGTGTGTGTGTGTG